CTTTTCAATTTTTTCGACTCATATTCTGTTGTTCTTTTTTTCGTCTTTTGCTTTGTGTATCTGAGACTGCAATAAGGTAAATGAAGCATGCAATTTGATGTTTTTCCTTCACATTGAAGGATATCCGGTTGATGGTGATAATCTTTAATGCCGCAAATGCACGTATCCCGAATTACATCCTTGTACTTTCGCAAACATGACTTCCCTACTTGCCATGTGTCAATCAACTGTATGGAATTGGATTTCTTGACATTCTGACAACTTTGCCATTTTAGGTCGAAGATTTTCTTGAAATGGATACGAGAAGTATTGTCGAACAGGATACAACGCATACATGGAATGAGCGACATCGTCAGTTAACGAAAACTATTGCGCAGGTAGTTTTTCTTCTTTGGTTTTTTCGTTCTTTTTTACCACAATTTCTATTTTACATTTCGTTATCTGTAAGAGTTGTTGGCGCGTAATGTTTGTATTTGAATCAATAATTGACATTTATGATGCTTTTGCCTGGAATAGAAATAAAATAGAAGCATAAATTGCTCCCATTGTGGGTATCTTGCTTAGGTTTGTCACTTTTCCCTCTTTATAGCTTTCATGGTTTTTGTACAGATAGGGTAAAGTGCTTCGAATTTTTTTTACAAGCTGTATTTTTTTGTGCGAGAGTGTTCATTTTTTGTAGGGCAACATGTAGATGTTTTTTCTTCTCTGTCTTAATCTGGAAAGTTTAGGTGCTCGAAGATTATTCCATTGTAAAGTTTGTTCCGCTTAACTGCGATGAAGAAGAAAGCGTTGAACAGTTATTACTCGTTATCGATACTACGATCCAATATGGTGAAGATCTCGAAGTAAGAGACAGGTATCCAGAAGAGGAAGATCCAGAAGAAAGAGAAAACTAAATTGATCTAATTTTTCTGCACTTGGATATCCTGTGCTTCACGATCTCACCTCATTATTCTTTGCCTTCTTACTTTGTTATTTTGTTGTTACATCATTGTTGTTTGTTGAATTGCAAATATCTATAAAGATTGTACAGCCATTTTAATGATATGAGCACTTTGTTAAAATTCATGAGATACCTTTCCGGTCCAGATAGTATTGATTGTTACCTGCAGTTGCTGTGTGATTTAGGATAGAGCTGAAAATTCATAGAAGGCCTTATAATCAACCATTGCCAGCTCAACATTATCTCGAGAAACACAAAAGAGGTTGGAGCTCCTGAAATTTCAAAACTTCGGATCCTACCGATGCTATGGTAAAAGCTGGTGAAAATGGAAATTCCGGTAGGAGGAGAAGTTCAGGGTATGTTGGTTATTTTGCTTGAGATGTGATTTCTAACGAATAATTTGCAGAGCGTCGGAGAAGTCCGAAGATAATAAACAAGTCAAAGATGAAGAGGTAGATTTGCCGAGCTCATACCTTAGGAGGTTGAGAAAACCGCGTTTTTAGGCTAATGGAAGTAAAACGGCATCGCCTTCGATGCCTCCATCAGTTGAGGTCGCAAATGAACATGATGGTGATGAGCAAGACCATGACACACCGACCGGATCCGTTCACAGTAGTCGAGGTAGGCCAATTTTCCGATTTTGTGACTTCTCCATCTCATTTTTT